AGAGAGAGAGAGAGAGAGAGAGAGAGAGAGAGAGAGAGAGGGCGAGAAAGAGAGAGAGAGAGAGAGAGGGGAAGAGGGAGAGAAAGGGCGACCTTACCTAGCGGGGTAGAGATCGTCGGAAAGAAGAAAAGGCGGGGTTTTGAACGCACGGTGCCGGGGGAGCGCTCGGGCTTTGGGAAGGAAGGAGGGAAACCTTCGGTGTTCGCGTACATGGTGGGTGTTTCTCGCGTTAGCGGTAGCTTAGAACTCCGTCGAGCTACCTAAGAGGGAGCAAACAGGGGGAGAGCGCTCGCGGCGCTTGAACGTGCCCAAAGAACGAGGGGAGAGTCTGTGTACAATGGGAGAAGACGGGTCGATCGGGTACGGGGGAGTCAAGACTCGGGTGGGAAGCGGGGAACAGTGTGCTTAGGCACGGCGGCTGGCGGGAGCTGACGGAGAGGAAAAGAGGGGAGAAAGAGAGAGAGAGAAAGCGAGAGAAAGAAGAGAGAGAGAAGGAGGAAACAAGAGAGGAGGAAAAGAGAGTGAAGGAGAGAGCGTCGAGAAAGGAAGGGGAGAGAGAGTGAGAATCCGCCAATCATCGCGAGCGCGCAGGCGGCCAACTTCAAGACAGTTTCCTAAGGGCTACCGTTCGGCGAACGCGAGCGAAGGAAAGTCGTCGGCGCCCAGCCATCGAAGGCTAGCGCTGACTCCCGGCTCCGAATCGAGCCTACATACTCGTCGAGCCCGGGTTCGTGGTCCCCTCTCGAGTTCGCGACCGCTTCGAGCTTGAACTGTTTTTAAGCTTCGGAGAACGCCGCGCGCTCATGCGGCGGGGGCGCTGTCAGTCGGGGAAGAATCTTCAAAAGCTGGCCTAGGGGAGTTCGAAGTCCTTTAAGCTCCGCATCTACACAACATATGAAGACCACGTTCGAGGCTCGTGCTGAAAGTCCCTTCTGAGCGCGGCGTCTCCGTCCAACAAGAGTCTTTCGTCATGCGCCCGCCACACCTTGTGCTGCCGCCTAGAGGGCCCCCGAGTGTGCTGCGGGGTTGGAAGATTTCCCCTTTGGGGACCGGGTTTCAGGCGAGCGGGCTGTCAGCGCCTATGCAGGCGGCGAGTTCAGAGTCCCCCCCCCCAGTTTCCGTGCCAGTAATGTGACGGAGTCCAAGTTCAAAGGTCGTGCTCTCGTTCCTCTTTGAATTTGCTGTCCATACCGAGTCTGAACCGCTCTTCTTTCCTTTTTTTTACCTCTGAAGATCTAGAGAGTTGCATAAACGGTTTGCACAGAGAGCGCCTGTGTGGAAGCAAGTTTGGAGTCCTTCTGGATCAGAATCGGTGATGCGAGGGAATCCAAGTTCGAAGGTCGTGCTCTCGTTCCTCTTTGAATTTGCTGTCCATGTCGAGTCTGAACCTATCTTCTTTCCTTTTTTTTTACCTCTGAAGATCTAGAGAGTTGCATAAACGGTTTGCGCAGAGAGCGCCTGTGTGGAAGCAAGTTCGGAGTCTTTCCGGATCAGAATCGGTGATGCGAGGGAATCGAAGTTCGAAGGTCGTGCTCTCGTTCCTCTTTGAATTTGCTGTCCATGGAGTTTGAACCTCTCTTCTTTCCTCTTTTTTTTTTTTTTTTTTTTTTTTTACTTTGAAGATCTAGAGAGTTGCATAAACGGTTCGCGCAGAGAGCGCCTGTGTGGAAGCAAGTTCGAAGGCTTTCCGAATCAGAATCGGTGGTGCTAGGTAGTCCAAGTTCGAAGGTCGTGCTCTCGGTCCTCTTTGAATTTGCTGTCCATATCGAGCCTCAACCTCTCTTCTTTGAATCCTGTTGTTACCATCCCTGTTGGGCTCTGTCGCACCTGTTGTTACCGACTCTGTTGGGCGCTGTCGTACCTGCTTAGTCGCCCGACCAGTTGGAAAGGGGCCGACGGGGAATGCACGGCGACCGTCCGCACTACTTAACTGCACAAAGAACACAGCGGGAAAAAGGGGGGGTGTAACGGGGGGGAGACAAGGGGGCCTTGGCCGTCCGTTCGGAAACAGGGGTCGGAGTCACGGGCCTACGGTCACAGGTACCGGGCCGAGGGTGTGCGTCGACGGAACGGGGTAACACTCGGAAACCGGGCCGCGGGACCGGCCGGGGCGGGTGAGGGTCGCGAGGGAGGTGTGGACGCGACAAAGTGGCGCCGTTGCCGGGGATGGGCGTTTCTCCCACGGCCGCGGCCGGCTCAGCAACTACCGGGTAAGGGGAGGACCGGCGTGACAGGCAGTGGCAGGGTTTTTTTTTTGGCACACGGTTTTTTTCAGGACATCAGCATCTTCTACGACGTTTCTTCGGCACGACTGAGTTTTTTCGGACCCCTCGGCGGTTTCTTAGTGCCAATTTCACTCGAGCAGCAACGGAGGGGGAACTCCTTGGGGCTTGTTTTTTGGAGGGTTGTCGGGGCTGTTTTTTTGGGTGCGGGGGAGTTGGGGTGTCGGGCTTCTCCTTGGCTTTTTGCAGGTCCGCTCCGGCCCGCTTGCGACCTCGGCTCCCGCTCCCGGCCTCCGAAGGGTAAAACAGGTCAGTTCCCTTTTTTGAGTGCTTGATTTTTGCGATTGTTTATTTTTAGAAATTTAAAAATTAAGAGGGTGAACAGTTTGCTTGAGGGGACTGGATGAGGGTGAAGAACAACGAAGGGGTGGGAAGAAGAACCGTCCGGGAAAATAGTGTAAGGGGGTCTGCTCAAGGGGAAGAAAGAGAGGGGGCGAGGGGAAGAGAGGAGAGAAGGGTCCGAGAGGGTCCGGGGGAGCTATCCATTTGGGACCCAAGGGGGTCGCCGAGTATACTTGATCCGCACGGGTTGTGGAGAGTACCTACCCGAGGGCAAAGTCCCGCACGAGAGAGGGTGTGTAGAGAAGGGTTTGGGGCTTCGGTTCTCGACCCGCGAGGGCTGACGACAGGTTCCTTGCGAAGGTCGACTCCCGCAAGAGGGCGGGACTCTCAAACGGGACCGGTTCGGGACTTGGGGGTGAGGAGAGTGGTGCTACGAGTGTCGGGGCAAGGGGGAGAGAGAGACACAGCTACAGTTGCCAGCGAGGGGGTTAGAGAAGAAGGGGATACTTGGGGGCCCTTGGACGAGGGATCGGAGGCCGAATCCTGGGTGGACCGGTGTCTAGCCGATTTCTCGGACTCGGACCTGGGGGACTATTGGGATTATGATAACGAATATTGAAGACTCAAGGTACGTACGCTTGTCAACTCAACCTGAGGGACTCTTCCTAAAAGCTCTGCTTTTCCCACCCCACTTTTTCTGACTTCCCGATTTGAATTCCAGTGATTCCAAGAGAGAAAAGAGGCAGCGGGAGGCAGAAAAGGAAGAAGGGAACGGAGTGCGAAGAGTTCTGATGAGGAGAATGGGGGGGAGTAGATAGCCTAGTGATTTCTGATAAATAGGTGGATCTTGTCATGGGACCCCGGTAATTCCACGCTTGAGGTGGGCCGAGTAGAGGCGTGGTACCGGATATGCTAACTTAGGACTAGGGGTCGGTTCAGTGGGGGACATAGGACCCAGGTGTGTGACTTCGGTCCGACTCCGGAGAGGGGGTTGCCACCCTTCCTTGGGGATAACCTGTGTCCGCGGCTAGTCTCTATACCGGGGGTGGGAAGGGGTCTCTCAGCGGGGGAGGACAGGAAGGTAGCCGAGTGAGACTGCGTTCCTTCTCTGGTCCATTTGATTCCTTCTGAGCTCACAGGCTTCTTCTCCTTGCGGGTTAGAGGTGGTCTCTCGAGTGGCCAAAAGGAAGTAGGGACTTAGGGAATTTTCTTTTGATTATATTGCATGAGCTTAGAAGCCGTTCTGGAATGGATTAGCGTGTGTACATACGGAGGTGTTGACGTGTGGTGTTACTCTTTTCGACTATGGACGGGTGACTTTGATGTGGGTGTCTATGTAGAGGAAGGACTAGATCAAGGGGAGGATTTCCTTCGTGGGTGGGAAGAGGCGATAGGCCACTCTCGCGGTTCGAGGGAGGAATTGAGGTGGTCGTCTGGCGCCAATAATTCCTGACGCTTATCTCGACGGATCGGACGACTGGAAAGTGCTAGTAGGGATCGTGGAGAGGGTAGTGAGAACGACAAATCCATGAGTTTGAGGGCTCTGGAGTTTGAACCTGCGGGAATTAGTGTGGGTGATCGAGGTGGGGTAGACGTGTGGTGCTATACTTTCTACTGGTGGACCGACCATTTCGACATTGCCTTGTACGCAGAAGAGGGTGTGGATAGAGAGGCCGGATATTTGGATAGCTGGGAGGAGGCAGTCGGTCACGCACAGCTCGAGAGGGAACTGCTGGGGGCTTACGATATCAAGTACGTCTACTCGTTAGGGTGTAGGACATATTCACGTGGGGGTAGGCTTGTTCCTACTATTCCAGAAGCCTTCCTAGACGGATCGGACGGGTGGAGAGCACTAGTTCAAATCATAGAGGAGATAGTCTAAGGGGATGGTTAGGATCGAAGAAGGTACTGAAGAAGAAGGGGTTCGAATAGAGAAAGCTGATTTAAGCAAAGACAGGGAGTGCTTTAGCGTCCCTTTGGACCACCGCACCGAGAGGTGTCTAGCCGGCCGCGAGAGGGGGTTAGAGCTAGAACAAGGGGTTTTCCTTTGGGCTCATTTCGCTGTAGGAACTTGGGAAGTGGACAGGTGGTCCCGGAACAGGCCCCAGAATGGGAAGAGACCCAGACGAACGGTGGTCCGTGCGGAGGGAATTGTTTATTTGAGTAAGGAGGCCTGGGCCGATTACGTCATTCACTTGGTCCTAGGTTGGTATTGTGTGGATCATTGGGAGGCACGAGCGGGTCCGATTTTGAGACAGATTTTTGAGACGGAGCCCCTTAGACACTGCCCACCAGTTGAGGTAAGGGTGAGCTGCGTGTGAGACGAGGAGTACCCTCGCGCCACAAGGGGTATCAGGGCCATATTCCCGTCGTTCATTTTTCGAAGGGCGAGCGGGAAAGAGGAGCGGTACGAAAAGGTTGTGCGGTCCATAATACGGGAGAGAGGGTGGCAGCTCTCTGTTAGGTCGCTCCATTGGTACTACACCTACTGTGTGGATAACCCGGTACCCTACGGAATCAAAGCCTGTAGCATTCGCGCGGGGATCTTTAGGGAGTCGGCTCGAGACCACGAGGGTGGACGAGATTACGGTTACCGAAGGGTCTTCGGGGTACCACAAAGAATGTTTTAAATGAATGGTGTTCCACGATAGGGAACAGGGACGCTTTGTCGAGTCCTCCTTGGAGGGTAGTGAGACCCTTAGATTGATCCCTAGTAACAAGGGGGTTCCGACTGGGAAGGATAGAAGGAGGTAAGGCGACCGTGAGCGGAGAGTTCGTGTGGGTAGAATCCAAGGAAGTTGAGGGTCGAGGGGTTGGGAGGTGTCTCAAGGTGACCGCGGTTATCTTCGTGGCCCTCGAGGCTTGGGCGAAGGTCGTAGTGCCCCTGGTCCTGGGACAAGGGGGTGGGCTGGATAGGTTGTTACGAGAAGCAAGAGAAATAAGAGAAGAATGGATAAGTAGGGTTTGGGAGCGATTTGCGTTTATGGCTATAGAGAAGGAGAGGTTCGCAGGAGAGAAAGAGCTTCCAAGGGCGTGCTACCCGTTAACTGTGAGGGTGTCGTCTTTCCTGTTCCAAGGGACCGACGAAGGAAAGATAGTGAGGCTTCTGGAGAGGGGAAGGAGTCTGGGATTACCCTTCTGGGCCCTGTGGACGCTGTATACGCACTGCATCGATTGGGGTATACCTCCACGCAGGAAGCTTTGGGGCGTTTTTAGGAGATTGGGGTCCCTGGAGAGACCCTTCACTCTCTCACCGGAGAGATACCACCGGTGGGTTTTCAAAACAGCGTCGGTAGATGGTGAGATTCGTGTTGAATGAGAACGGAGCGGCAGAGTCGATAGAAGCTAGTGACACGGGGAAAGTCTTGATTCCGGGGGACCCTCGAGTGACCCCTTACTGGATGAGCGTTGAGAAAGGGGGAGTGATCAGAGAAGGGGCCTACGTGTGGGTTCGAGCTCGAAGATTCACTTGGAAGGAAGGTGTGGAAAGGGGAGGCCCAGCCGACCTCAGTCGTTTCCTACAGATCCGGGCTACGATCTTCCTTAACGAAGAGGCGTGGACCGAAGTTTGGAGAGGCTTGGTGACCGGGCGACTAACGGATTTTGAGTACCGAGAATCCGTGAGGCTGGTCGCAAACAACCTAGTGTTAGCTGACTACAAGGAAGGGACTTTCGAGTCGTGGACGCTAGTGTCCTTCGCCGAGCCCGGTGAGGTCGCTCGCCCGTCAGGAGTCCTTCACACGAACTTTCCTAAATTCTTGACGGACTCATTTTTTAGAGACCCGGAGGAGCGAGTAGTAGAAATACTTAGAGCGGCCCGGGAGTCCGGGGTGCGTGCTAGGGGTTTGTACTGCCTCTACACACGGTGCGTGGACGCAGGGGTTCGCCCGAGAGAGGAGTTATCGGCTATATTCGAAAGGCTTAGAGAATTTGAAGGAATCCGGGCACACGTGGCTGAAGTCCCGTACGCCCACCTATTTGGGGAAGAGCAAGTAGCCAACCGAAGGGGCTTTGCGGGCCGATGATAAGGAGGGTCCCAGGATCTCTCTGGGCCTCGATAGCACCCGTAGAAGACACCGGGGAAGTGGTCCAAGTCACCCTACCTAGAGCCAGGCTGGGAGGGCAGGCAAAAACCCTCTTAAAGGAAGAAGGGGGAATCCTACGTGGGAAGGCGTTCGTACGATTCGCGGTAAGTAGTGAGGGAGGAATAGTGATCGGCGAGGCCCAAATATTCCTCTCAAAGGAGGGGTATATAGAGATAGCACGCAGCCTACAAGTGTGGAAAGACCCTCTCTGGGACGCGCGAGCCGTGAGGGACCAGCTAGAGGAACTCGTGAGGGACGTAAGGCCTCACGAAGAGGGGCTAGTAGAGTACCGAGTGACCTACGAAGGGTGGGAGGCGATCCCACTATTCGCCTCCAGTGAGCCAGTGGGGGTTCCTCGTTTCATCTTCGAACGAACCTACCCCTCCGAAGACGTCATAAGGGTGATAGGAAGGAGGGTGTCGATTCTAGGCCAGTTTCTGTTCACAGGGTCGGACCTATACACCTTGCTAACGTGGTGTTTTCGGGATCCCTATAGAGATGATTGGTCGACTCTAGAGGACCTGGGGTACGCCTTTGAAGGGTGGGGCCGGCACGCAAGGGAGTCTAACATATCGTGGAGGTACTTAGGGAAGCTCTGCGAAGGGGAATTAGAGGGGTCAGACCCCTCGACCCTCATTTGAGTCGCGACTGCCTATCGCCGACGGAAGGTAGAGGATGAGCGAGCTTGACCTGAATGGACTTGAGGGGTTAGAAAGGGTAAGAGAAGAAGTTCACCGGATCCTCGCGCTATGCTGGGAGGAAGAAAGGAGGGCTAGGCCTGGGTCCTTAGCTAGGATCAAGCTACTTGAGACAACGGCAATCGCTATCCTCGACGAAGTAACGATAGATCTTCTCGCGCGGTGAGGGGATGAGAGCTTCGTTCGTCTCCAATAGGATTCGTTGGGAGTTGGATACCTACGAGGACGGTAGCGAAGTTAGGGTCGAGGGAAGTGCGGAGCTTAACCCCGAGTTGGGAGAGGATCGGGTGATCCGTGCGGAGAAGGAATTTCTAGTGGAGGTCCGACGGCTGGCGTTGTGGAAAAGGAGGAGTTGGACCACCTAGCTAGCTTTTTTGTCCACATTAGAGACGCGAGTGGAGTGAGGTCCTCTAGGGATTGGAGGGAACCTTTGCTGGAAGTAGAGAGAAGGTTCGAAGAAGACTCTAGGTATCTAGGAACCCTGCTGACATCTAGGACGCACCTTGTGGAGACCCGATTTTGGGATAGGACGGGAGAGTACGAAGAGGCTTTGCGTCGAACTCTGCGAGAGGACGGAGAGACCGGTCACACTAAGTGCGAGGACTCGCTGGTAGAGGCCGCCGCAAGGTTGGCCGGCATGAGGTGAGGCCCCTATGATTAGATACGACAGGGGGGACCCTTTTGGTATCTTGGAAAGGGGTTGGAAAACGGGAGACAGGTATGGATTAACCCTCCCTAAGGTTAGAGGGGAAGGAGAGGTGTCTACTGAGTTCTTCGAAATCTACGGGCAAGAGACAGTGGTCAGGTTCTCAGTGGCATCCGAGGGTGGCAGCTGCACTAGAAAGGCGGAGATCTTTTTGTCCCCCGACGACCGACTAATCTTTGCGACTGAATTTGGCAGAGGGAAAGGACCCCCTAGGCATCGCCAGAAGGGCCCTGGACCGGTTGAGGAGATTGAGAGGAGGCACTGTCGGGAGAGCCTGATCGATAGGGTAGAATACCGAGGGAGGTCGGAAGTTCCAAGGGTGGCTCACGGGAGGACTTGGGAGATCCCGACCTGGGCCTACCGACTGCTCTATGCTGACGACGCGACCATAAGGAGGGTCCGATTTAGGGGACAGGTGATAGAGAAATTTTCGTTAGGTGAAGAAGGGGGGCACAAACTATTCAAGTGCTGGGAATCGAGAGAGGACACAGACTTCGAGTGGTGGGCGCGCGTTGGAGAATTCATGAAGCCCCTGTTCTCTGGGCAAGCTGGTGAGGTGGACAGGGACTTGATTAGGAGGTGTGCGCAAGAAGGGGTTAGGGGTATCTCGAACCTGGAGATCGCCAAACTTGCGTTGGCCGATAGCGAGGAGAAGAAATTACGGGACTCTTGGTGGACTGTGACCAGCGAGGAGGAAGAGAGTGCTAGCAAGGAATCTAGTGAGGAGAAGGAGGGCTCGGAAGAAGAAGAAGGCTTGGAAGATAGCACAGACGATAGTGAGGGAGACAACTAGGAGTTACCGATAGGGTGCATGGAGAGTGAAGTGGAAGCTGGTCTCTCTTGTCCGCCGGAAACCGCTGAGAGAGGGGGGGTAGTAAAGAGCCCCGAGTTGGGAGCTAGGCTAAGTAGGGTGGTGGAAGAAATGACTGAGGGAACAGAGACGCTAGATAGGGCCGAAAGGGGCCCGGAAACGGCTTCAGGAGAAAGACAGGCCTCGGAGGGACAAAGAGCTAGCATGGAAGTGCGAGTGCACAGAGATGCGGGGCCACAGGTGCTGGTAAACGAAGGGATCGCCGAAGCTGCAAGAGGCGCTCCAATAGAGTCCCGGTGGGCGGACCTAGTGGACGCGGAGGCAAGGATAGGGGACGCACCGGAATTTCCTAGAGATAGGCCGGGGTATCGACCACCTAGGGGAGAGGAAGAAGAGTGTCAGGATAGGAGGGACTTAAGGGAAGGGAGGTCAGCAGAGGCCGGCGGCAGGCCACGGAGATGGGTTGAAAGGGTCTCGGAGACCGTCACAGGTGAGAGGCAGGCTTTGGTAGGACCAAGTGTGGGCGCGGAAATGCGAATGCCAACGAGAGAAGGGGCGGTTGAGGGATCGAGCGGCCTTCCCGTAGAGTCTCGGTGGGCGGATTTATCGAACGCAAGAATGGGGGAGGCTCTAGAATTTCCGAGAGATAGGGTAAGGTACCGGCCACCCAGGAGGGAAGAGGAAGGGGGGCCGAGTAGAAGGGGCCTTAGAGACGACAGGCCAGCGGAGGCTGGTAGTAGGCCACGAAGGTGGACCGAAAGAGAATCCGATGCTGCATGAGTTCCCGGCGAGGTAACGGGGAGAAGTCAGGGGGTGGGTGCCTGGAGAGGCTTTAGGGGGCAGGACCACGCTCGGTGGGAGACGGAGTGGCCAAGTGAGAGGAGCCTCTACGGGGAAGACCCCTGGGGACCACCAAGACCCCGACCACGGATAGAGGAGCCGGATCCCTCGTGGTACAGGCCGTACGACCCGACAATCGATGGGCCAACGGAAGGACCCTATTTCCGCCGATACGACGACTGACGAGTCCCCTACTGCAACGTCAACTTGGGCCTGGAGGCACTTTTCTTCGACGGACGGGACGTGACGGGATTCGTGGAGAAATGGGAAAGTTATGCTTACCGAAAGAGGTTCTCCGAAAAAGAATGGATAGACCATTTCATCCAACACTCTGACCCAGAGCTAGATCCCGCAGATGGGCGATGGAGGACCTTCAAGACCAGCCTGTTGCGGACTTTCGCCTGTGATGATTTGATTCCTACCATGGAAGGTTTGCGGCGTGTTACAAGGGGGGAACGGGAGAGCTTAGTGGCCTTCACCCGTAGGTTCAAGCGGCTGTCCCAAGCCCTAGTGGATAGGGGGATGCTGTCGGAGGTGGATAGGTGCGTAATGTTTATGTTGCACTTACCCAAGGAGAAGAGGAAAGAGGTCCTTGAAAAGGCCCCGCGGGATTCAGCCAACTTCGAGAAGGTCGCAGAGGTGGTTTTTACAGGGGGAGGGGTGGACGTGAGAGAGTACATGAAAGAGACCCTGGACATGGCACTCCGCAATATGCATGGCACGCGGAATGATGGCCTTAAGGGGAATGATAGACCACCCCCGGATCCGCCTGGTCCGCCCGGTCCTCGGTGGGGAGATCGGCTGGCGGGATGGAGAAACGAGTCGGGAAACCAGGGAGGCTGGAGGAATGACCGAGAAGTAGGGGGGAACCGTGGCCCCGACTGGGGAAATTCCCATTGGAAGGACGCTAGGAACGGAAGGTGGGGAGACGCCCCTCAAGCAAGGGCTTCTGGGCCACGACCTGAGATTATGGCTCCACCACCACCACCGCCACCGCCGGCTCCTGCGCCTGTATCTGCTGCAACACAAGGGGGTCCGCGTCCCAACAACCTGCAAGCTCGAAGTGGGTGTGTTTATTGCAATGAAGAAAACCACATCAAAAGGGATTGTCCTTATCTTACTGAGGCCTTAAGGTTGGGTGTGGTAAGGCTAAATGAAAACAAGTGGGTTGTGTGGGGAGATAGTGGAGAGGCGGTCTCGTTCTACCCCTCAATGAAGGTGAATGTGGACAAGAGAATAGCCCTCCAGGAAGCGAGGCTGGGGAAGAAACTTGAAGTTGGAAGTACTTCCAACACGTCCCATATCCAAAAGACGGAGTCACCTGGGGGGTATCCATTAGGGAACCGCAGGTGTCCAACATCAAGTTCATAGAGACCCAGCCTGAAGAAGAGAGGCCTTGCCTAAGGGTGAGAACACAGGTTGGGGCCGAGACGTCTAAGAGCCAAGAGAGCGTGATGGAGGATGCGGGAGTAAGGAGCGGCGACAACGACCAACCAATGGCCGATGCCAAAGCTGTGGAGGAAAAGAAGGAAGAGCCCACCTCACCCAAATCGCCTAAGAAGAGGGGGCCCAAAAAGTTCGAAATGAAATGCACCCTGGATGAGATAGACACGGTAGCCCCCCTTAGGAGAACCCTGATGTAGCCGATGCAGTGCACACTTTTGGAATATCTAGCCGCCAGCAAAAGCTTCAGGGAAGAGCTCCTAAGCATCATAAGGAAGGTCAGAGTCCCGCTCGCAGGGGGCCCCACGGTGTCGGGGGAAGGTCCAGCCAAGGAAGAAGTACAGGCCTCCTGCATTACCACGGAGGAACTGCCTGCCAACTTCTTCTCGGGTGAAGAGACCAAGAAGTTCTATGCGTTAGGTAGCGGCCAGCTCCAGGCAGTGGTTAGTGGGAAGAAGATGAGGGCTCTAGTAGACAATGGGTCCGAGTCTACGGTGTGTAGGGACTCCATCGCACGGGAGCTGGGCTTGGAGATAGATCGAGGGGTATCAATGTCAATGGTAGTGGCCGATAACAAGCTGCAACCAACGGAAGGGGTGTGTCATAGCCCCGTGATTGAGGTCGCTGGCGTAGAGACCACGGTCCCAATCTTTTCGGTAAAAGAGTGCTCCTCCGAGTTGATCCTCGGAAGAACCTGGCTGAGCGCGGTTCACGCTACCACGGTTGATTTACCGGATGGAAGTCAGACCCTCTCGATCCAAAGTCCGGATGGAATTCGAGTGGTCCTAAAGACCGTAGACGCGCAAGATGAGCGTAACCGGACCAGCATTGCTAGACGCAAGGGGAGCGAGTCGAGGGTGTGCCGAGTCCGTCTGGAGGAGGTGCCCTTGAAGGATAAGGGACCCAAAGGGGACCAATTGGAGGTCGAAGATGTAGGGGATAGGATTGTGATTAACGGTATGGGGTACGAGAAGGAGGACGAGGAGGAGGAATTCGGTGGATGTATAAGGTTGTCTTTTTTGGAGGAATCCCCCTAGCCGGCGACATTAAGAAGCACAAAACTGTGGAGGAAAAGGTAAAACCCGCCGCGGTCAGCCAGGGTAGAACGGGGGAGGCTACGATATCGGAGGAAGAGATTGCCGCTATCATCCGGAAAAGAAAGGAGACTGAAGGGCAAAGAATTACGGCCGATCGGTTGGCTAAGATGGATATAGGGGATGGCAACCTCACAAGAGAGGAGAGGGAGTTCGTGGCCATGACCCTGAGAAGCTGCGATAAGGCCATAGCATTCGATGACTCGGAGAGGGGGAGGATCGACCCGAGGTACGCCAAGCCAGCCCGGTTCCACACGATTCCGCATGTGCCTTGGAAGGATAGGCCCCAGTGGAAGTATGATCAAAAAGAGAAAGAGGAGATCGTGGCCTTCATTAAGGAAAAGATAAGGACTTTCGTCGGAGCCTTAAGAGTGCCTACTCCAATAAATGGTTCTTTCTAAGAAAGGGGGGTAGCAACAAACTGAGATGGATTCAAAACCTCCAGAGGACCAATGCGGTTACCATAAGGGACGTAGGATCTATACCCGAGGCCGACTTGCTAGCGGAAGGGTCGGCAGGTCGCTCAATATACTCGATCTGCGATCTCTTCTCAGGGTATGACGAGATCCTCTTAGACTACCGAGACAGGCACATGACCGCCATGCATACGCCTTTAGGGCTGGTCCAAATGATGGTGGTACCAATGGGGTGAACGAACGGCGTGGAGGTGTTCCAAAGGGCCATGATTGCGGTCCTCAAGGAGTTCATACCCAAAAAGGTGGAAGTCTTCCTTATGATTTCCCGATAAAAGGGCCGGTCGAACGAGATGAGACGGAGGTCTTTCCCGGGGTAAGGAAGTTCGTAGTGGACCATATGCCTTTCCTGGGGTAACTGGCGACAACGGAAACATCCACCCTTTGCCTGAAGGTAGGCTCTGTCCTCGGGTGCGAGTTTCTTGAGGCGGCCCGGGGGGTGGTCGGGGAATGGCGGCTGGAGCGATCCCTCTTTTCCATTCGCATGAGGTGAATGGCAGAGAGTTCGTCGGGGGAGAGTGATGTGGTGTCTAGTGGATCGGAGAGGGTGTCAAGGTTGGGGGAGGTGATGGAGGTGGTGTCCTCGGAGGCGATGTTGTGGAAGAAGCGAGGGTGGGGAGGGGTCGATGTAAGTGCGGTCTTATAGGGGGAGAGGATGCGGTCGAGTTGGAGGGTACAAGTGAGGAGGTCGGCAAGGGTCATGGGGGGCTCGTGGACAAGGGCGGCTGCCAGGTCTTTGCGGCAAACGCGCTTAACGCGGGAGAGGAAAGCGAAATCGCTGAGGACGTCAAAGGAGATATGTTGACGAAGCGAGCGGACGTAGTGCACAAAACGGTCAGTTGGTCCGATTTGTTGGAGCCGACAGAATTGGTCGATATAGTCGTCGACCGTTTTCTGTGGGCGGAAGGTGGAGGTGATGAGGGTGGCCCACTCAAGGAAGGTGCGAGGCCGGAGACCGGCGTGATGGCGATTAACCATTTCGGTGTACCACCAGCGAGCAGCGTTGTTCAGAAGTCGGCCGCCAGCGATGGGGAGTTAGTGGATGACGGGGATGCTGTAGAGGGAGAAGGCTGGTTGGAGTTTGGTGAGAAAGAGGAGGACATTCTCATGGGGTTAGCCCGAGAAGGTGGGGATTTCGTTGACGCGGACTGATGGGGGGGATTTTGCCTTGTCTGGGGTTAATGGTGGCAAGGGTATTGAAATCAAGGGTGGGAGAGGGAGAGTTGAACAGGGTGAAATCATTAGCGGGGTTGGTGGGGATGAGAGCATTTGGGGGAAGTAGTGGAGGAGCGGTGTCGGGCGCATCGGTCCGGCACCACACAGGGCAGCGTGGGACGCTCCCGGCCGCGTCACGCAGGAGTTGGTTTTAATCCTCGTCGCAAATGCATATGGAGCTTCC